CCTAAGGGCAAAAGTAATGGCTCTGATGCACTCACACATGGACTTTAGAATAAAAAGGGAAAGTGATGACCTTTATTGAATAAATTGCTTTTTTTTTTTTTGGCAGTGCCATGAGGCTTGTGGGACCTTAGTTCCCCAACCACAGATTGAAACCAGGCCCACGGCAGTGAAAGCACCGAGACTTAACCACTGGACCACCAAGGAATTCCTGCTCTTTTTTTTTAAGTTAGATTCTTATTTGAAATATGTATTTGAAATGGCTTAAATAGCTAAATATAAACAATACAGAAAATAAGACGAAAACACAGGTGAATACTTTCCTGTTTTTTACACGCATAAGCGTAGGAGCAATTGTTTAAAAAAAAAACTGACAAATTTTATCTTTCAGACAATATGTAAGAGGGATGTCTCCAGGTTTTCTTTTAAAAGTCACGAGAGCATCCTGTATTACTTAAACCGATTCCCCAACCTGAGGAACTTAGAAGAGGGCAGGGAGGTAGGTACAAAGCAATTAGAGTATACCTTTCATAAAAGGGGTAGGGCTGGCTACAATTCTGGGTAACATGAAATATGCCTCGGTCAGCAAGAATCAAACCGAACATCACTAGTCAATTCTACTTTCTTGCCAAAACTTAACTAAGCTAAATTTAAACAAGCCATCCTGTTATCTAAAATCAAAGAGCTGGTTTCTTCTGTAATCTCTTTTCCTAGATTGGTCACTTTTTTCCTTTTTCTTTTGTAGCATCACATTAAGAATTCCAGCCAATATTCTTTTGAGGCTATTTCTTAAGTGAGTTGTGATTACTGTTTCCTGAAAGTCTTCCCTTTGGTTTCTACAAGATGCAGAAGGACCGAGCACACTGAGTTTTCCCACAGTCATCATAAAACGCCAATATCAAAAGTGCTCACATTTCATTAAACGTGACAGCGCCTTCCTGCCCCATAGCTCAGTGAAGCACTCCAACAACTTAAAAGGAAACATGTCCCTCCCTGCAGTTGCCCAGACTGAGATCACAGAGCTGCAGCTTCTTTCCTTCCAAACGCTAAGCATTCAATACAGTGTGCCAACCCAGAGTACATGCTAAGAGTTTACTGGAGCCAATAAATGCAGTTAACGAAAAAGAAAAACAAAAAAAAACCGATGCCAATTTCTCCAACATCTCCTCTTTTACAAAGGGAAATATATTTTCTTCTCCCGGCCATCACAGAACAAGAAGGGTCCCACAAGTACGACCCCACATTCTTCCAACCTCTAAGGTGCTCTCCAGCGGTATACTTCCAGGAAAGCGCCGTTGCCCACTGGAGTCACTAAGTCACCATTCACTGCTTTGCTTCTTCGTTCCCCCGGCAATCGTGTGCTGTTTCTCTCCACCCGACTGAAAATGCTTTCTCTAAGTCTAAAGGGCACTTAAGACCTTCTGGTGGCTAAATACAAGAGCTCCTCCAATTAAAAAGAAAAAAAAAAATCCCCACTCAAACCACCTTCTTCACCAGCTGCCATGCCTTTCTTTCCTCCCTATCACGGCTTAACTTCTTAAAGGAGTTGTGGCTGCCATTCCCTCACCTCCCACTTTCATTGTGCCCACACCCTTCTTCAACCCCGCTGGCTTCTGGGGTCGACATGCAGATGAAACAGTTCTCACTAAGGTGCCCAAAGATCAACAGGGCTCAGTCCCCACCAGGCATGGCCTCCAAAACTGGGAGCAGAAACGACCCATTTTCTAAAGACAGCTGCAAACAAAAGGGTTTGCACCCCATCCTGGGATTACTAAGAGATGGACAACTGACTGCTTCCCCAACCGCCTCTCTACCCCACACCCGGCCCCACCCTATCCCCAAGCTGGTAAGAGGACCAAGGAAGAGACTCCTTCGAGCCCCTAGGTTCCTGGCTTAATGGGGAGTGCTGCTGTATGTTGGGGGAGGGGATGAAGAGACTTCATCCAGAGACTGGGCCTGCCTGCAAGAAGGGGAGACTTTTACTCCCACAGTGGATAACAGTGGGCACGTTGACTTGTCCCGCCCCTACCAGAGTAAAAGAAAGGAAAACTGCAGGAAGATAGCAGGGCAGAAACAAGCCCCAGATCTGCTTGGTCCACAGAACAACCGATTAAGGTGACTAGTTGAGCATCTTACTAGCACGCACCCATAAGGGCCTCCTGCCAGGGCCAGGGCGTCCCAGCGTCTGTTCCAGTTACATTAGAGGCACTTAACCCTTCCCTCTGCCTCCTCTGCACCCAACATAGGAAACACAGTTAGAGCCCAGAAGAAGGACAGGGAGGAGGGGTCCCAGAGGCAGACCACCCTCTTCCTCACTTAAAGTTGCTCAAACCACAAGGCTGGCAAGAGATGAGCTCAGGGAAAGCTTTCAATCAAATGTCTATTTTCCTCACCGTGGTATTCCCAGATGTAACCAAGGAAGTGGCACATGGTAGGCTTAATAACTATTTGTTGAACAAATGAACAGCTTCTTCTTAATCCTCACCCTCTGTGTCCTTTCTGCCTCATGTCATTCATTTACTCATTCAGTCACTTCCACACAAATGTTTGCTTTTTTCTTTGTTTGGTTGGGTTTTTTTGTGTTTTTTAACATCTTTATTGGAGTATAATTGCTTTTCAATGGTGTGTTAGTTTCTGCTTTATAACAAAGTGAGTCAGCTATACATATACATATATCCCCATATCTCCTCCTTCTTGCGTCTCCCTCCCACACTCCCTATCCCACCCCTCCAGGTGGTCACAAAGCACCGAGCTGATCTCCCTGTGCTATGTGGCTGCTTCCCACTAGCTATCTATTTTACATTTGGTAGTGTATATATGTCCATGCCACTCTCTCACTTTCTCCTAGCTTACCCTTCCCCCTCCCCGTGTCCTCAAGTCTATTTTCTAGTAGGTCTGTGTCTTTATTTCCATCCTGCTCCTAGGTTCTTCATGACCTTTTTTTTTTTAGATTCCATATATATGTGTTAGTATACAGTATTTGTTTTTCTCTTTCTGGCTTACTCCACTCTGTATGACAGACTCTAGGTCCATCCACCTCACTACAAATAACTCAATTTCATTCCTTTTTATGGCTGAGTAATATTCCATTCTATATATGTGCCACATCTTCTTTATCCATTCATCTGTGGATGGACACTTAGGTTGCTTCCACGTCCTGGCTATTGTAAACAGAGCTGCAGTGAACATGTGGTACATGACTCTTTTTGAATTATGGTTTTCTCAGGGTATATGCCCAGTAGTGGGACTGCTGGGTCGTATGGTAATTCTATTTTTTGCTTTTTAAGGAACCTCCATATTGTTTTCCATAGTGGCTGTATCAATTTACATTCCCATACACAAATGTTTGCTGAAGGTTGATTCCATACAGTTTAATTATGGAAAGGTGATTGAGGCGTGTTCCCTGCCCTCAAGAAAGTTACTAGAGAAAGTAAGAAAAGTACAAACTTGCAGCTACCACAGTAATTATGTGAACAGTAGCACAGGAGTAATACAAAGTACCAAAGACATTAACTCAAAAAATCCAAACTCCCTGAAGTACACCCAGACAGTTTTTCTTATCGGTTTAGATATAGAATTCTCATGCCTGCCTTTCCCATGACCACTGGCCCTTTAACCCTCCTAACTAAAATACATTTACCCTTGATGTGTCAAGGGTAACTGTTTACACACCGCCTTGTGTGTGTGATATCCTGGAGAAAGCCAGGATAATCCAGATTCCTTGGGTCTGGGGTAGGCCAAGGAGATTTCCAAGCACAGCCTTGCATAAAGACCTAGAGAAAGGACAAGGTATGTATGGCCTTGCTCGGAACACCACCATATGCAATCTGTCACAGAGGAAACGCTGCTGGTTTGGGATCAAGGTGATGCCAAAGAGGTACATGTCCCCTCAGACAGCATCTTAACCACAGGGAGATGGCCATGCATTGTGGAGAACTGAACTACTAAAACATCTACCCAGAAATCACATGTGATTTACAATACTGTTTATTAGTGGACTCAGAATTAATTAGCGTTTAGAGCTACATATTTGCAGAAAGGAAATCACTCTACATGATTTCTGGTTTCCTTGTGATCTTAGCTTATAGTCCCTCAGCAACCATTATTGCTCCCCACATATATTTTTGATAGGTATTTTTAATGACCATTTTCCACCATTATTAGAATAATGAATACATGCTCAGTATAATAAAAAATCTAAAAAGTACAATAAAGTTTATAACAGGAAAAATATCGTGCATATTATTACCAACACTGTTAATCTTCTGGTTTATTTCCATTTAACCTCTGTTTGATTTAATAGCTATTTGGAATTAATATGCCCCATAAGCCAACGCTGGGAAAAATCACCAATATACTAGGATATAAACTGCCATCTGTGATCTCTTTCAGTGATGAACAAGACTGTATCTTCATGACTGTGAAACAAGTAGCAGATTCAGTTTAAAAAGCTTAAATTCAACGAAGGGAAAATTGGTCAAGAGGGTTGTTTAATGTATGAATGCAAGCTGGCTCTCTTCACTTTTCTTTTTTTTATAAATTTATTTATTTACTTTATTATTTATTTTTGGCAGCGTTGGGTCTTCATTGCTGCGCATGGGCTTTTTCTAGTTGCAGCAAGCAGGGGCTACCCACGGCATATGGGATCTTCCTGGACCAGGGATCGAACCCACGTCCCCTGCATTGGCAGGCGGATTCTTAACCACTGAGCCACCAGGAAAGTCCCCTCTTCACTATTCTATTTGTCTTTCCAGTAGCCCAATAGTTGGGTAACTATCATTTCAGATACAAACCCCTTTAAAAATAAATTCCTTTGATTGTTTAAAAAGGATATTCTTGTGTGATTCTGGGAGGCACAAAAAACAGAGCTAGTGGTGTTTTCTTGTCAAATATATGGTTGCCATTATTTATCAAGATATCTCACAAGGATTTTATTTTCATCTCAGTATTCCATAATAGACACGCTATTCCAATGATGCCTAAAATAAAAACGATTGGCTTACCTAACTAAGAAATCATGCAGTCCAACGTCAAAATACCTGTTGAAGGGAGACAAAGACAAGCATATCAATAGAAGATATTCACAGCAGTGGTGGACTTGACCAAAAATATATCGTTCACATTTGGAACATGGTGAGTATATGGATTACTCCATGACAGTGGTTCTCGAAGCATGACCCCTGGAGCAACCACAGCAGCATTCCTTGGTCAAATTCTCAGTCCCCACCCTCACACACTGATTCAGAAATCCTGGGGATGAGGCCCAGTAATTAGATTTAACAAGCCCACCAGATGATTCTGATGCAGAACCACTGCTTCATGAGAGCAAAAGTATCTCAGCAAGCCTAAACTCTCTCTCTCTCGAAACAGAAGCCAGAAAAGTGAACTTCACCACTTTTCCAAAAGGGGAGTCATTTTATAGCACTAGTTGTCTCTGATGTTCATTTACTCAAAAATAAATGAAATTATGATTTAAAAGCATGAATCCACACTGGCCAGAGGGAAGAAGAGGGGTGGGGGAAGGTCAACTCTGTTCTTCCATCTCCTCCCAGCCATAGTCCCTGGAGCTTTTCGCAGGAGAGAACGACCCCCCCATATCCGGGTCCGCTCTAGCAGGGAAGGGAGAAGGCAGTTCCACGCACTCGCTGGTGAGCCTGCATTGTTCTTGGGCGTCACACCAGCATCCAGAAAGCCCTGGGCGGTAGTGGACCCCTTCAGTCACAGCCTCCCTCTGACACCTCCAGACTAGCTCAGTCCATATGAGTGGGACTGCCCTGGTTGCCCTAATGAGCACGCTTGTTCCCCCTAAACCTCTGCCCGCTTAGCCGGTGTCCTTCTCTCACCTTTGGGTCTGGCCCGAGTCATGATGGTGCTGCCCACCAGGTATAATCACTACTCCTAACACCTGGATGGTGGTGGTTATGTGCCACCCACAGGACTGGCCTCCCCAGTTAGCAAGCAGCCTGGGGCAAGCCCGAGGGACTTCTGTCCCTACAGACAGTGAGCAGTGGACTCAGAAATTCCCCTTAGAGCGGGGTCCAACTGCCCAGGCAGGCCCTGACTGTCCCTAGCATCCGGGTCCACCCTAGCCCTTTCCCTGGAACATCTCAGCCTACTTGGCACCCCACCGTCCCTGACATATAGCAGGTGATTATAGATATTAAGATTCCTTGTGGGATACCTTTAAATGACAAGGTTCTTTCATGCGCTCAAGCATCTGTTTATAGATTATAGACACAGGGTAGGTGAGAATAAAGAAACAAAGCCAAAATACGAGGTACCTCATTAATTATATCACTTACCTGAAATAGTTATATAATTCAGGGAAACTCAAAGTCAAGGTATTGTGTGTAAATTCCATCTACTCATAAGCCTCTGAGCAGAGCTCTAGAGGGAGATATACCTGCAGGGTATAGCTGATTTGCTTCAGCTGATTTTACATTGACCTGGATAAGGTCAATTCCTATACTCATATTTAACACAGATTTAAAAAAAGAAACAGAAACAGAAATGATCCCTCCTCTCAACCAAAACCAAGGCTACATTGCTCAGCTACATAAGTAAAACCTTCATATGACAGACAGCAATTGTACGTTTGCCAGAACAGCAATATGGGCGGTAGAAGTATGTATGGATTAAAACAAAGATTTCAGTCTTTTCAATTACACCAGCAACAGACTCTGTTACAGGAATCAGAGGATGAAACAGACATGAAAGGAATCACAGAGACCCTCAGTGTAGAGGTGCGGTAGGGGAAGAAGACCCTGAAGCAATAATGAAAAACCTAATAATATTCATAGAAATTGTTATTCATTTAGCACCTAGAAGGTGGCAATTACTCTGTTCAGTACTCACACACGTACCTGGTTGCCAACGAGGTAGGTACTGGCACCCCCATTTACTGGTGAAGGAACTAGAGTGCAGAGGCTAAGTAACTGGCACAGAGCTCACAGCTAGGAGAGGACAGAGCTGGGAGTCAAACTGAGCCCTGACAGCCACGAATTATGTGCTCCTCCCACTAAAAGTACAGGCTCTCACTGCCCCTCATTATTACTAATTGAAAATGGCTGTTGATTTTAAATCAGCGCTCCCTTTCCACCTCCACCTGACCTCTGCTTCCCCCAAAGTGGCTGCCCTGTTCCGGGCAAGCCCACCGTCTCTGCAGGCACCACCTACCTCCTCGGGTCTTAGAGTCAGCCAGGCTCTGGAAAGTTGTGTCGATTCTCTGGGCTCCAGCTTCCCCACTGGGAAAAAGGGAGACCCCTTACTCGTAGGGAGGTTATGAGAATTAAGTGAGAAAATAGAGATATGGGGCTTAGCACAGGGCTTGGTCCACCACGTGTACTCAATAAATAGTAGTCTCCTTTCCTCCAGTTTTTAAGAGTTGTTTTAATGGCAGCCCCATTCCTAATAACTCAGCAGGAGAAGCAAGCCACATTAAAAAGAAGGACGTATGGGGCTTCCCTGGTGGCACAGTGGTTGAGAGTCTGCCTGCCGATGCAGGGGACACGGGTTTGTGCCCCGGTCCGGGAAGATCCCACATGCCGCGGAGCGGCTGGGCCCGTGAGCCATGGCCGCTGGGCCTGCGCGTCGGGAGCCTGTGCTCTGCGACGGGAGAGGCCACAACAGTGAGAGGCCCACATACCGCAAAAATAAATAAATAAATAAAAAGAAGGACATAAGTTGTCTTACAATGCAGCCCAGAAAGGGAGGCCATTTAATCCAGGGCACGGGCAGGGCCTGAGCCCTGGAGAAGGCGGCAGCAGGGCTGGAACTCTGAGGGGCGAGCACGAAGCTCAGGGCATAGGCAGGCGAGCCGGAGGATCAGCGTCCCACAAAGAGCCTTGAAGCTGAGTGCAGGGGTGAGGGCTGGGGTTACGGGGAGCCTCACCCTGCCTGCCCCGCTCCTGACCAGCATCTCATACTGGCACACCAATACACACCTGTGCACACCCAGCTTCACCTGTAGCTATGGCGGCCCTAAAAGTCAGGGTCTAAATGTACAGAAGTGAGGGACTGTGACACAGGTTGTGTTTCAGACTGTTTCCTCTCATACACGTGTGACTGGTGGCGGATGGAATTTGAGGCTGGGACAAGCGGAGGACTTTCAGCATCCTTGTGACAGGCAAGCTGTCAAGAGAACAGTATAAAGAAGGGGTCCCCGACCTTTTTGGCACCAAGGACCAGTTTCGTGGGAGACAATTTTCCCACGGACCGGGGGGCAGGTGGGGGGGCAGAACGGTTCAGGCGGTAATGCGAGCGATGGGGAGCGATGGGGAGTGGCTGGCGAAGCTTCGCTCGCTCCCCAGCCGCTCACCTCCTGCTGTGCAGCCAGGCTCCTAACAGGCCGTGGGCTGCTACTGGCCCGAGGCCCAGGGATTGGGGACCCCTGCTATAAAGGGTTAATAATTACCTGGAAACAAGTAGAATGGAGATGCTCGAGGTGAGGGTGGGATGGGGATTTGCATCAGAAAACGTGACAGGAAAAATGTAAGAGGACAAAAACAGAACTATTTCATAGGTAAACATATCTTACTCCTTTACGGCATTAATTCATCTGGTATTCATTCATTCGATAGATATTCCATCTGGGCCTTCTATGGGCCAGGCATTGGTCTAGCCCTGAGGATGCAGTGGAGGGTAACATAACAAGGCACCTACTTCTCATGGCACTCACATTCTAGGTGGAAGAGGTAAACAACAAATAAGCACTTATATACAGAAGATAACATCAGAGGGCAGAGGATGCACACACAGTGACAGCACAGAGGGACAGGCCATACAGGCACTCCGGGAAGGCCTCTCTGAGGTGGTGACATTTGGGTTGAGATCTGTATGGTCAGAAAGAGCCAGCTATGCAAAGATCAGAGGATCTAGTGTTCCAGGCAGCAGGACATCCAGAGAAAGGGTCCAGGTTGGGAAGGAATGGGGCAGGTGAGAGATGGAGAAAGAAGGCCAGCGTGACTGGAGAATGGTGAGCGAGGGGAGACGGGGACCGCAGAGGTTGGGAGAGGGGGGCAGGGACCAGATCTTAAAGGACTGTGCATGCATGATAAGGAGTTTGGGTTTTAATTTAACATTGATAGGAACAGAGGAGCGGTATTTTTTCCTTTATTTAAATTTCATTCTTCCAGCGGTAGAGCTGTGGTATGCTTTGGTTTGCATATTAAAGAGAACACTCTGGGTGTCCTGAAGAGAATGGATGGTAAGAGAAGCAGGAGGGCAGGGAGACCACTTAAACAGCCATTGCAGTCCAGGTGAGCGATGATGGGGGCTCAGCCCCCAGATGGAAATACTGGAAACGAGAGAGGAGAGACAGGGACGGATTCCAACAGGATTTTGTGTAGAGTCAAAAAGACTTGTTGACAGACTCATGCAGGGTGGAGCAAATAAAGGAAAGGGAAACATAACCTGCAAAATAGGTGCGAGTGCCTCTTATCACTCAATTTCAAACCAAGCAGCCTCAAAGTCTTGGCTTCTTAGGGAATTACCACCTCAATAATGCTTGGTGACCCACATGTAGATTAAGGGAATGAGAATGGCCTGGTGATTAGTTACACTTAAAAATGGCCCACCTGTTGGGAGAGCTATTAAGTCATAGCAATATTTTTTTCTTTTTTCTGTTGTATTAATTTATTGTGGTGAAGTATATATCACATAAAATTTACCATTTTAACCATTTTTAAGTGTATAGTTCAGTGGCATTAAGTACATTCACATTGTTGTAAAACTATCACCACCATCCATCTCCAGAACTTCATCTTCCTCAAGTGACACCCTGGGTTTCCTCTATACAATGGAAAAGCTGATTTGGGCTCCTTCCAAAGGGTTCGGGGTGGGGTCTCACCTGTGGGGCTTTGTCTTTAATTTCAAAACACAAGCAAACCAGTGAACTCTAGAAATATGTTCTCCTTGGTTTTCCTGGATAGATGGAAAAGGTACCTTAAGGGAGCTAGAGTAGGAAGAGAATACTATTTTTGTTTTTAGATTTGTATGCCAGGCACTGCTAGGCAATCTGTGTATTCTTTCTTTTAATCCT